GCGAGACATATGATTGACTTTCCATGCTGCTTAAGGTAGTTTTCTCGTCAATGGAGTGACCAAAACTGTTTTTACAGCCTGCAAAACAACTCTCGCGAACCATCTTACTGATTATTCTCTCAAAGGCTAGGAAATTCAACTTTTATTATCGACACTCCATGGTTCAAGGCTTCAAGCCCTATGAATATAGTTCTGTTATGCTCTTAGACTTTATTGTATGTTTCTCTCTGACATTCATGAGTTCTATGTTTATTTTCAATGACAAATGTTTGGTACCCATCTCTGCAGGTGCTCTTTGTTACATGCTTACATAAATTTAAGCCGCCACTTAAGGGGTTGTAACTGCTCTTTCCAGCGAGTATCCAAAAATACTGCTATAACTAAATGATAAATATCAACAAAAACTTTGAACCTTCTACTGAAATTTTGAAAGCCTGGTTAAGATAACCACTTAAGAATGGGCTGTCCTAGTATGTAACATCACCACCCTCGGCAACTCCAGCACTAAATGCATGGAGATCTCACAACCCTTTGACGACTAGAGTGCAATTTACTGTCATATTCACCACTGATCACCTACTTCTRGAGTGCAATATGAAATATGGGTCAATAGGATTATGTGCCTTGGCTAGGTATGAAAGCATCAAAATAGATTCCTTTACATATATGTGGAAACACATCTCATTAAATATCCACAGTTTTCAAATGGGTGTATAATGATCCCTATGTTTTGTGCAATTGTGCTAGATTGTGATGTAACAATATTGGAGAAGCTTCATTACTGATGCCTTTGGTTTTGCCACTGCTTTATGCTGAGAATCTGACTAAATAAGCAACACCGAGTAGAGGGACATTTGTGATAATGCAGTAATCACACTGATTTCCTAGAGATTCAAGACACTATGTTATATCTTGACTCTAAAACCTTGACTATTAAAAATGTCATGCGCAACTGCGCAAGTACTCTTTTCACATCATACAGTTTGATATTGAAATCATTTTAACGACTGTAACCAAGGTCTTATCAAATTGGATACCCTTATTCTTACTCTACCCTTTCACTACCTATCATCATTTGTCTTTTCGTCTTAATCTTGTCCGGCATTGCTTTCCCATGCCTGCACCGATAGTTCTCGTTCACATGTGTGTTTGGTGTCGAGACGAGACAGGACAGGATAGAACAACTGTTCAACGTTTGGTAAGATAAAACTGGACAAAACATAACAAGTAGAATGACCAATTTACCCCTAATGAGTTGTTTATTTTAATTAATTTATTAAGTTATACTAGAGTAATTATTTTTTATAACAAAATATATCATTTGAAAGTTTTCGTCAAAACAATTAAAATGACACCAAATAAAAAGTTTATGTAGTTTCCAATTTTCATTTTTTTATCTCTTTTCTACATTATTTTTTATTATTAATATATGCTAAATTACATAGATTAATAAAAATATAGAAACCGTATAAAAATAATATTTTGAGGATAGTAAAATGACAGTTTAAGCAACATAAAATACAATAAATAAAATTTGAAGAATGAATAAAATGTAAAAAGGAGACCTATTTGATGTTTTAGAAGAGAATTAAGTTCTATTTTGAGGTTATATTTGTAAAAATATAAGTCTGTTCCACCTTGTTCCACCCTGTTCCATGGGGGTCGGGGTGGAACATGCCTGTTCCACTTTGTTCCACTCTGTTCCACTCTGTTCCTGTCTGTTCCACATAAAAGTCATGCCAAACATGGGACATGGATCCCTGTCCTGTTCTGTCCTGTCCAATGTACCAAACGCACCCATAGGGAACATTATCACTGTTTTTTTTATGTCAATGCCTCAATGGTTGAAGCCTTAAAGGCGATGAATGCTTTTGTCCTCGTGTTGAAAGATGTTCATCGCCAGAATAGGGCAAAGTTTAGATTTACAGAAATTCAGCATGTTGTTCAACATCTTAATATGCTTTGGAATCCTTGGCAAATTTTATCATGTGTACATGTTCAAAATATAACAAGGGTCTATTTGTTTGTCATTTTCCTCCATTTCCCGTTCTATTTTGTGAGCCTCATCTTCATTTCTTCTTGCCTATGTAATGGGACTTAGAATTATATTTTTTATTTCTTCTCACTTAATAAATGGGACACCAAATTATATCCTTTCTTCTTTTCACTATATATATGGGACCTACAAAATGGAAATGTTAAATGATCAAAAAGAATAAGACCTAAAGTTATTTTGTCTGCCCTATAGTTTTGTTTGATCTGATTTTGCTTGTCTATGTCCATCCTTTATTTAAAGTGGTAGGGACTGTCTTCTGTATAAGTTTTGGAAGATTGGATGATCAAATTGTGAGGTGGGATAAATTCTTGCTAGAGATGAAACTTGCTTGCTTTGTTCCTTGTCCATATCTTCTCTTTAACGTCCATCTTTCTGTATGTAGTCAAAGTAATTTCTCTTCTTTATGCCCATCCTATGGTACCCCATCCCTGATCTGCTGTTTAATTTCAGATGGTGAGGATGAACATTGGTGTGAAGATGGATCATCATGGAATGGTTCTGATGGGAAATTTGATCCATCATCTGACTTAGACAGGGAATGGCAAAGAAGAAAAAATCAATTCCATGCAGTATCCTCAATACATACGCATATCTTACATAAGCTGTAACACTGGTGTATTTATTTTTTTGCTAAATCTTAAATCATTCATAGATTGGATATCGCGATGGCCTTATAGCAGGAAAAGAAGCTTCTGCACAAGAAGGTTTCAATGTTGGCTTCAAGGAATCTGTAGTTGCTGGATTTAATTTGGGTTTCGTGAGAGGTGTTACTGGGTACGTTCCATTTTTCTATATTTGACTAAGTTGCAAGTTATATTATATTTACTCTTTCAACGGACTTTTCTATGTTCTATTTAACATCTGGTTTCTGTATTGGTGATCGCGATGTGGTCTAGAGCTCTGAATTGCCTTCCTGGTGAATTAAGAAAGAAGATCATTGAATCACAAGAAACAAGAAACAAGTTACACAGCTTGTATGAATCCGTGAATAAACTATCAACAACAGATGCATTAAAGGTGTTCCATGATGGCTTGTCCCAAAGAAGAGTCAACAAGGGTGATCTGGAACAAAATTCAGATGGCAGTGTTCTAGATAGTTACTACGGACAGCTTCAGTCTCTCATTGTCGAGACCCCTGCAATTGAGGTGCAATCAAGGGATAAAGCAATATATGTTTGAAACAGGCGAAGATCCTTCAGTTCAATGAGGTTTGTTGTGCTACTGTTAATACTGCAGTGATCAAGTTAACAAGATGAGCTCAATTCTAATATTTTCGAGGAGAAACTAATAGCTTGTGGTCACTCATTATCTTATTTGTGCAAAATTACTTCTTTTGATGATATATGGCACAATCTATTTTGTTGTAGCCACAGGGTACAAATAGATTATTTGGCTCCAAACCGATACTTATGGGAAAATTTGATGTGTACTGTTAATTTGTGAAATTAAATAATTTGTTTCAAAAACTGAAACTTCTGTGATCTTTGTTGAGATAATCGGGTTGCAGCATAACATGATCGACTTTGGTAGCTACTCAATAAATCAACTAAGGTTTGTCCTATAATTAGATCTAGTATTTGCTGTTACCTGGATTATGCTCTCCTATCTTTTAAGAGAAGTAATGTTGACAAATATACAAAGAGGTACCGTCTTTCACCGAATCCCATTCTAGGGTACAAATTTTTTATTTGTAATACCAGAACTGGGTACATTTTATTATCTGATGGTGCAACGATTGGTTCATTTTTTAAGGCAAAATATTATGAAAAGGGGACAGATCAAAACTATTAGCCTGCCCACGCAAGGATTGCTTGACATGGATGTACAATACCGTACAACGAGAGGATGAATGTAAGTGGTCATACACCAAGATTGAAAGGCAAAAACAATTAAAAAAGCCCTTACGAGGTAATTCTGATAATCCAATTCGCTCCAACAGACAGGCATGGTTTCTGTAGTCAAAGCAACTTCGTCACTTTCGTGAGATTCTTCCGTTTTCTTCCTTACAGAGAGGGGCCCCTTGTTGAGCAAGGTTCTTTTATTTGATCCCGAAGTGCCTTTGGCATGATTTGGATTCCTATCCAATGATCTAGGACGTAATCCTGGACGTGTCCACTCAATGGGCGGACACACCTGTGCGGATTACAGGTGACTTTGATCCGTTGAGCGAGAGCCCTTCCACACTGGACTCCCGGATCATGTTCCAATTGTCGACAAAAAACCATCAAAGTGCTCCCCTTTTTTTCTTGTTTTGGGGGGGGGGGGGGGGGGGGGAGGGGAAGGTCCCATGGACATAGTCCCTTCGGTAGTATTCTATCCTATGGTAGATTGAAGGTCCTGTGCCACTTTCACTCAAATCTTACTTTCAATCCATCATTGTCCAGCCAAGCCAGCCCATAGTCGAAGTATATCTGACAATAGAAGAAAATTATTACGATTGTTGGAGTTCCACATTGGTTAGGCACGAACCAATACACTTTAYATATGTAGGAATCTCCCATCTCTCTACAAGGGCTCTTTTGAAGAGAGTTTCAACAGGGATCTACATATCCTTGCATGGTATCAGAGCCGGTTTCTAGCAACTCCACGAACTCGACACACTTGACACCCAATCAAGCCTAGCYTCCATTTGAGGGGCACATAGGCTAGGCATGTACCAACCCGTCTCTATATATATATGTAGGAACCTTCCCTCTCTCGATAAGAGCTCTTTTTAGAGATTCAAAGGGTTCCACCAAAAAGTAGAAGATGGTAGAATGGCTTTGTTTGAGATCATGCTCAATCTGGTCTTTCTTCATGGAACTACTGTAAAAAATAATCTGAATATCACATAGCCTCCAATTTTAGTGAAGATGCATAAACATTTTATTATATCTGTTTACGCCCATTTACTTGCATTGCACTGCCTTCGGCAAATAATTTGCTAACAAGACTTCCGAATTAAAATGAACAACAAGGATTAGCACACGAATAACATTACACACTTGATTGATATTCAGAGGCAAGAGTGCCACTTCAACAACACATATAGATAGATAGAGGCCTTCTCGAGAGGAAACTAGGCTTACCAACTTCAATTTTATAGAACAAACTCGATCCTCTCAGTTGGTGCATCATAATAGATCTTGCCAGATGTTCTTTTGATCTCGGGCATCCATACTCCATAACAGCTCTATCATCATCTAATTTTTAACACTGTTTTGCATAACATTAACAGATGATTGTCAATGCAGCTTCTCTACCTGCGCAGCAGCACAAGGCATCAGGTTGATTGACATCATTGCTTTGTTAGTCACTCTTGAGGTAAATAATATAAAGCAACAAATATATTTTTGTTAGAGGGTACTTGGTTGGGGTAACAGGRGGTGGGGGATGGAAATTGAAATAATTAATGGTGTCTTCTTTGATGCAAGGGAATGAGCCATTACCATATACYGGGTAATGAAACATTCCTCAACAAACTTTGAGGGGGTGGTGGGTGAAGTTCATTCTCATTTCCATTTCCATTTCCTGAAAAKAACCAACTACTCCCTTAGAGCTTATTGGAAATTGCTGTTWTATACCTTGGTGACAACAACATCAGCTGCAAGCTTGCATGGGTCGTGCATTTGTGAAAGCCTTTGAAGTATGTCTGTTGTTGTGGSTATCATACYTAGGTATTGGCATCACCTTCYCGAAAGCTTCAACAAGTAATGCAACTTTTCTTTTCCGTGCCGGTGCAAGTGTGGTGACTGCTTGTTGTAGAGCGAAGTCAACCATCCATTCCTCTGCATTTTTTCTTTCATCTACCATCTGATGCCTCAAGTCCACTGTTTCTGCATCTGGATCCGCCACTTCTGGCAGGAAATTTGGTCCTCTGGGGTTGAATTCCCTACAATCCTCCAATCTCTTGATCAGGTTTCTCGCCTCGTGTTGACCCTCTAAGATTTATGGAGGGATCTGGCTGCTCCTCACCTGAAGCTYGTTTCTTTAAAAGAGAAGAATTTGTTGCATCCATGGATGTTATTTCTCCTGTGRAATGTGTTCGCTTTTCTTCCGGTCTGCTTTCATGTTCTTCATCCATTTCTTCGACAACATCCTCGCGTTCTTCCGTGACCCCAAGTCCCAAACTCTCTGAATGTTTATTGTTTTCAGGATCATCCCACTTTTTGGTGAAGTAACTGGCTTTCAATTGCTCRTGCTCAACGATTTCTTGAGCATCAAAGGGAAGTTCTTCATTGGTGATCATTTGATTCACCTCTCTAGCTTCTTGAAAACTAGTAAGGTTGTTGGCATCATCATTTTGACWACTTATGCCCTGTTCTTCTGTCAGGTGAGAAGCTTGAGTTCCAACCATAGCTTCATGGACTTCCTCTGTTTTCATCTTATCAGCAGCAACAGCAGTTGCAGGTACTTGTACAGTGGCACCTTTATCTGTCTCTGAATGCTCTGTTTTTTCTCCATTGATATAAATAGAGATGTTAAATTGTATGATGTTGTAGATTATCTTGGTGTGACGCTTTTCAGTTCCGCCCCGAGAGTTCTCTGCAAAATCTGGGGCAGTTTCTGACTCTTGAGAAGCTTTTTCTTGGTTATAATTGATGCTGYATTTGACATCATGATCTCTGGTCGTAAAGCCTTGAAGTTCATCTTTTTTTGCTTCAATGATTCTTGTGATCTTATCCTCATCCATTTTATCATYAAAATCCRCTTTATCAGTTGTTGATGACAACCCAAATGCATCATAGTTCATAAAATCTTGATCTTCGATTTGGTTGTTGATCTTTGTTTGCTGATACGAACTGTCCGATTCAGAATCACCATTCTCCTCTGACCAACCTCCCGAGCTCACACTTTGTTCGTCATACGAGTCTTGAAGCTCGACACCTGTCTTCTGAATTTTCTYTTCACAAACATCATCATCATTAAGACAAGAAGCAGAACCGTACCCATCCTCCCAATCTATATCTGAACTTTCAAAATCCTGGCTGCCTTTGCTGTAGATTTCAATAAAGAAATCTTTACCTTCTTCTTCCATTAAAGGATTTACAGGTGTGCCCTTCATACCCACTTCTTCTGGAGCTTCCTCTACCGGCCCGGTAATGATTTCCTCTGTTTTCTTTACAACAGGCTTTGTGTGACGTGGAGATAAACACCCGAGCTTRAAACTCTTSTGTGTCTTCAAAGCACGTCTCCTTGCCGCCAAGAAACAYCTCAACGGCGGCAAGGGAGSGTGGTGATGACCGTTGAGTGAACAGTAAGTATAAGGGCATACCTTCATCGCAGAAGTCCCATCTAACTCGGTCCCTCCTGGACTCAGTTCAAGGCTATCCGGAAACTTGGAGTCTTTTAGAGTCGAAGAACATGTTGCTCTCTGAGCATCTAAATCTTCACATAAAATCACGGAAGAAGAACACTTCTTCGAAGACCTCAATGGTTTGAAACTAGGACTCTTTGTTAACGTCCTCACTAGCTTCAAACTCGACGTTCTTGATCCTTTATTCCCAGAAGCTAAAACCTCTATTTTCGACTTATTTTCAGCCTTSGGACTCTGATTCTTGTTTATCGACKGCGAACGCTCTTTTCTTGCCTCAAAACTGCTGGTGGACTTCATGTAGTTTGGTGATTGCTTCTGTGAAGTTGCTACTGCTGCTCCTCCATGTTCAACCAACGGCKGTGATCGCTTCCTTCTCGAGGATCGTAAGTTGGCCGATTCATCGGGCCGTTTGATCGACCTCGACTTCTTCATGATCTTCTTGAGGTCATGGGTTTGTGGAGATGATGGTCTGAGGTTAACCAAATGGGTATCTGGTTTAAGATGATATGGTTTGATACCAAGCTTGTTAGGAGCCTTTCTTTGAACCATTTTCAAAGGCAAAGGTGGAGTAGCAGAAACATGAAGAAATGGAGGAGGCAGGTTTTAGGGGAAATCTATGGGAGGTT